TTATGACCCTAAATGCATATGTGAAGTTTTAAATAAATATCTTTAATAGTTATTGAGATATGTAAAACTTGCATGTAAACATTAACCAAGAGACTAAGTAGAAAAGGGGATATAAATCTGCCTTAATGTAAGATAGCGTTATGGAACTTGGTCAGTGACATACAAATTTGACCCTCAAATTATGACCCTAAGTGCATGTGTAAAGTTTCAGTGTTTTTTTTCTTTATATAACTACTACCCTAAAACGGTACCATTCCCAATAGAAAATAGACATTAAAATTCCCAATTTCCAATGTTAAACTCCCAAAATGGCTGTTCAAAATGCCCAAAAGGTCAAGTGATTTTTCTAAAATCATTTAAATCCAACATATTCATATAAATCACCATACAGTAGTTCTATTTTGACAGTAGAAGCTGTTAGCTATCTTTATTCATGATGTCTAATCTCATTTGTAGCTGAAAAAATGCATTAAAAAAATTCCCAATTTTAGTCAAAATAACGCATTTTTTCCCAATCACTCTGGTACCGGCACCATTCCCAAAGTAGAGAAAAAAAACGCTGAGTTTCAAGTAAATATCTTTGAAGACCTTTAACCTTTAACCAAAATTTCTAAGTTTCAAAGGGGCAAATAATTCTGCAAATATTGCAGACAGAGTTATGCAATTTTGCAAACTGATGTACATTGTTACTATAAAAAAGTAATTTAAATTTCAATTGAATATCTCAAGCAATAATTGAGATATTTGACTTTACTAAAAAACTTTTACCAAAATTTCTAAGTTCCAAAGGGGCATAATTCTGTCAATATTGTAGGCAGAGTTATCCAACTTGTCAATCTGATGTACCTTGTTACTTTAAATAAGTATTGTATGTTTCAATTGAATATCTCAAGCAATAATTGAGATATTTGACTTTACAAAAAACTTTAACCAAAATTTCTAAGTTAAAAAGGGGCATAATTCTGTCAATATTGTAGGCAGAGTTATCCAACTTGTCAATCTGATGTACCTTGTTACTATAAATAAGTATTGTATGTTTCAATTGAATATCTCAAGCAATAATTGAGATATTTGACTTTACAAAAAACTTTAACCAAAATTTCTAAGTTATAAAGGGGCATAATTCTGTCAATATTGTAGGCAGAGTTATCCAACTTGTCAATCTGATGTATCTTGTTACTATAAATAAGTATTGTAAGTTTCAATTGAATATCTCAAGTAATGATTGAGATATTTGACTTTACAAAAAACTTTAACCAACGCAGACGCCGACGCGGACGCTGACGCCGACGCCGACGCCGACGCTGGGGCGACTACAATAGCTCTCATATTCTTCGAATAGTCGAGCTAAAAAAATGCTCAAAGTGATTTTTTTCTTTTTATATGAGCCTCGTTACCGCCGTAAATGTCACGTGGTATTGCCTGAATAAAATCTAGTCATTCTAAATTTAGAACTTCAATTGCATTCCGGGTTTGTAATCTTTACTAATATCGAGGTATTTTGTTCAGGCCTAACCCTGTTGGTTAAAATTGAAGTAAATAATTTAGCGAAAATCTTCTCGCCGAAACAGTCCTATATATTAATTCCACTACTCGGCAGTCAGATTTATTTGTGTAGTATTCGGTAATCGACATCGCTAAAAATAGCATTTTCATTTATTAAATCAAATTCATCCGCGTAATCTGTGATTGTGCTTTTATTGACAATTCTATAAGACAACGCTACTTTTAAACTTTGAATGCGTTGTAATTTGTTGGATACTTGTAACAAAATAAAAATATTTTTTTCTTTTAAATCGCTAGTTTTAAGCTGTTTTGAGAACTACTTGTTGTTAGGTTTGTCGTGAAATTCTGTGTCAGAGATTGAATGTCAGCTTTGTGTTTACTGACCTTCGGGTTAGAAAATACAAAAATAAAAAAAATTCTCAAAGTGATTTTTTTCTTTTTATATATCTTTTAAATAATAAGAAATGTCTTTAGAACTTCATTAAATGCCGTTTCATTGTTTGAATAACATTTCTGCAACATTAATTTTTTTGGCCGCTGGCCGCCAACTTCACAAAATGATAAAATAAAAAAAATTCTCAAAGTGATTTTTTTCTTTTTATATGAGCCTCGTTACCGCCGTAAACAGTCACCCTCGAGCTAGATATTCCGGTCTGTACCGGCAGCCGGTGTAAGATTCATATATTATATATCCTTTAAATAATAAGAAATGTCTTTAAAACTTCATTAAATGCAGTTTTATTGTTTAAATAACATTTCTGTAACATTAAAATTTTTGGCCGCCAGCCAATGGGCCACCCGGCCGCTACTTTCACGCCGCCAGCCGCTAGGCCGCCCACTTCACGCCGCTGGCCGCCGGCCGCTATGCCGCTGGGCCGCCAACTTCACACATCTCCGAAATACTATTATTAAAACAATTCCTTGTGGAGGACAACTTACATTGTAACATATGTAAGCTGTAGCCTTTTTCGTAATGTTAACGTAGGCCTATGGGAGTTATTCTTACGGTTATTGCAAGTGTACCACGTGACCAAGAAATTTATACTGTTACAGGGGTAACAGTACTTTTTAACAGTATAAAATCTGGTCACGTGGTTTATTTTCTAAATAAAATAAAATAAAATGGCCGCCATTTTTTCTCTCGATTCATTGTTATTTTCGAAGTTTACCACAATAGGGCATCACAAGAATTACTATGACCACCCATAAAATTTAGTTGCTTGCACCCTGGAGTGCTTTTCGCGTATAAAATATCTTTTTGTTTTACAACGGCTTGCCACTGACGGGGTTTGATCCCTAAAATACTAGTCCAACGCGTTAACCTTTCGAACTCGCCGCCATCATTTGGTTTTCTTCAAACCTTGTCATTATAATATATATTTCAGTGATTTTATCTTTCTCTCTAGAAACTAGCTGAGATATGCAAATAAAAAGTATGGTTGTGTTTAAAAACAGACAGAAATGTACATAAATGATCCAAAAGTAAACATCCGTTTTCACCGGAAGTAATTGTGTGTCCAACTAGAACATTCAGACTATAACAATTTTAATCAGTGAAACATTATAAATATGCTGGACAGACATTAGGATATCATCGTTATTTTGAAAACACATAAATCAAAAAACCATGCGAAGAATATTCTGGATACAGAAGGATCAGATTTCACTGATCATAACTCTAAATAAAACAGCTTATTGTACGTTTCGTAGATATCATCACTAACTAAAGATAAAAGAAAAAAATCAAGTAGGCCTACTGCACAGTACATTTAAAACTTGCAAGGCAAGGTAAGGACAGTTTAGTTATTGTTACGCTTGGTTTATTTTTGTTACAGTTAGATTTATTTAACAATTTCATATGGTCACAGTATTTGTTCGGGGTAATAAAATAAATAACACATGGGTTTGTGAGTAACAGTAAAAATATCATCCCTCGTACACAGGAGGAAATGTTGTTTTAAGAGTTTGACGCCAGTTTTTGAAGGACGCATTGACGTACGACGAGTGATCACAAAAGCTCACCTCTGAGCACTTTATGCTCGGGTGAGCGAAAAACAAAGCCATTCCGTTTGTTTAAAACATTTATCTAGTGGTGATCAAGGCTTTTAGTATAGGATAGATCATGAGTACCAGCTGGATGTGAGATTTATCAACGAGCGAAGCGAGTTGATAAATCTCACATCCAGCTTGTACGAGCGATCTATCTGACTTAGACCACAGCTGTTTTCTCTCGGCCAATCAGAGTAGTTTAAAAGTGTTTGATATATCCCACACATCACAGTAAAGTGTTTGATATAACTATCATGTTTGTTTTCAACTGAAAGAAAAACCCCGTTATGTGCACGCTCAATGCGGGGAAAATTTTTTATGTACATGTATATAGTAAAGTTTATAGTGTAATCCCCTTCTTAAAAATTAACAGTTAGCAATAGTCCTTTGACCAATTTATTTCGTCAGTTCATCATTTTACAAGAATAGTTACTGTATTTGTAAATAAGAAAAAACAAGCAATAATGAAATGAAATGCGTTTATCAATCTATTTAAATCTATATATGTATCCACATTTTACGACCGCTTTTGTGCTAATATTTTAGGCACTGACTGCCTTGTGCATTATGCCCGGCTCACTCTTAATAGCAGACACTGTAGATGTACATTCATTTTCGGTTTGGGATGAGGGGATTCCACTGGTGGGCAGGGGGTGGAGTTTCCGAACGGTGACTGGACTGCGTTTGCAACGCTAAGGCAATGTTATGCTTTAAGGCTTCAGAGGGACGTTTGGAATATTTTTTTTTAGTTCATGAATGAGGTAAAAAAGACAATGCAGGATGTATATAAAGCATACAACAAAAACACGAATCTATATGTCGAGTAAAATATTTTAACTTCAGCCGGACAACCAATCAATATCCTGAACCCTAGGGTTGTTTAAGCATTAAAGAAAACGTTAAATGAAAGTTACCTGCCCGTTTCTCCAAGAGCCCACTCTTGAGAAAAGCAGCCATCGCCCATGATTTCTGTCTAAGAGTAGTTTTCGGTAAGCAGTTTTGCTTCTTGACTTCATATTCAAGCGCTGTGTACGTTGTTATGTCATTTAATCATTTAAATGAAGAATCAACAGGAATAACAACAAAATCTCTCAACTTGCAAAATTGTAATGCAATCACATTCAGAAATGTTAAATTCTTCCCAAATTTCTTCTTACTGCACCTTTGTGATGGAATGTGAAATCTATCATTCATAACATTGTGTATACAGTAACTTATGAAAGAACATGAATTATGCCATTTTCTCGTGCTTTTTTTGCCTACAATAAGGCCAAATAGATTGAGTAAGAAATATTTGGATGTCCCTATGTCATTGTCGGAGAAAAAAAATCGATTACGCATGTAAAATCTTCACCTTAAACAGAGAAAACTACCTGTGGTCTAAGAAATGATATACAATTGACAATCAATTTAGAACACAACTTTTGTGTTGATATAATACTTACTTTGGATTTGAGACTGCCAGACACCATCAACCGCTCCCCATAGAGCCACATAACCAAGGATCTTGAATAAGTTCTCTGATGTTGGGGACCATATGTATAACCAAACTAGTAAACCAAGTGTAACCAAGAATGCTTAAAAGAAGAATATATATTAAATTAATTTGAACGATTAGTTCATTAAATATGGTGTATCTAGCATGTTTTATAGATTGAATACGCCTGGTGTATATATTGAAGAAAAGTTCCTATTTGACTATTAAGATATTGTAAAATAAACGCGTAATCAAACTCATAATGTTATACACACAATATTCAAATTGATCCTTACAACCCAGAGAAAGTAAAAGTTATCAGTTTATATATCTCGTGTGTCACATTTTAGTAATAAAAATCTGATAAATAAAACCAAAATTTTGTTGCACTTTGCGCTGAAAAATATCTATAGAATGAGAGGAAACGTTCTAAACCGAACACCAATATCTTTAATTAATTCAGTCATTAAGTGTCACAATGCAGCGCCAAACAGCGCGTGCAAAAACGTCAAAAAAAAGAACTCTATATAAAAAAGTTACATTAAACTGCTATTTCGCTTGAAAAAAAAAAATAAATAAAAAATAAAACAAAAACAAAAATTCTTTATCACGTTTTCAAAATTTGTTATTCTAAAAATGTTTTTGAAAACGATAGATTTTACGATAGATTTCAGAACGTTGCTATTGTGTTATTTTTATGCTCGGAAGTGAAGACAAATATAACCACCAAACAAAAACATATATAACAACATAATAATATATATATTTTTTGTTTTTTTTTGTTTGTTTGTTTTGTGTTTTACGTCACAGTCATATCGCGACGTGAAGACCTCAGGTACCCTTCCGTGCATTATTTCAGGCACGGACGGGCACCGAGTAGAACAACCGACATTCCGTAAGCTAGCTGGATAGCTTCCTCACATGAAAGAATCCAAAGTCCCTGTCGGGATTCGAACCAACAGAGGTGAGGTGCAAGTGGTTTGAAGTAAACGAAGGTGCCCTTCCATGCATTATTTCAGGCACGAACGGGCACCGAGTAGAACCACCGACGTTCCGTAAGCTAGCTGGATAGCTTCCTCACATGAAAGAATCCAAAGTCCCTGTCGGGATTCGAACCCACAGAGGTGAGGGGCAAGTGGTTTGAAGTCAACGACCTTAACCACACGCCACGGACGCCCCTATATATATTTGAAACTTTATATATATAGACTCGGGGGTCATCTATCAATTTTTGTCAAAGATTAGACCCTTTCAAGCCAAAGTTTTAATCGATATACTGCGCATATGATATAATTAATATAATTTGTAGTGCCTCAAATTACAACAAATATCAAAACTATAGCAGTTTAAACGTTTCCCTCGTGTACAATTACGCGGTAATAGAAATCTCGTTGGAGGAAACAACAACTGATTGTTAGTGTCATTTCGATCTCTTTTAACTATAATTTTGATATTCGTGAAGTTGGCAGCCTAGCAGCCTGAAGTTGGCAGCCTAACAGCCTGGGAGCCTAACAGCCTGAAGTTAGCAGCCTAGCAGTCTGGCAGCCTAGCAGCTTAAAGAAAACTAAAAATAGTACAAACATGAAAACGGTGGGAAATACATCAGTAGCACTTCCTTAGATCACTCCACGTATTTCTTCAATATCGTGATCTTTATTTTTTAAGATGTTGAACTTTATCTTAACATATTTTTTTTCATTCTGACGCATCTAAATTTGTGAAATTGGCAGCCTAAAGAAAACTGAGGATGAACAACCTTAATGTGTAAATTGTAGTAAAGGAAGGAATTTTTGCTGCGACCAAATTTAACAGAATTATGGCCCTTTGTTGATTTTTAGTTTTCAACTTGTGGCACATGTAGTCCAAAAAATATTTGACCTAGAGTCATAAGATTGACAGAACAGTGGCGTGTGGGGGCATCCGTGTCCTATGGACACATTTCTAGTTTTCTTTAAATTCAAATAAAGATGGTTTTTATACAGCATAGACAGAAAAAAAAGCACATTTAGTATCTAGCCTTTCTTGCATATCAGACTGGCGTTGCCGTGAGTTTTACCCATGCCGGAAATTTCAATTGGCATTGGGGGTGCCAGATGAGTCGCGTGCTGTACAATGGCACGCTCAGGATGACGTCATTTTACCGTTATGAATGAAGTTGTAATTTATACGCTGTTATAAGAAAGTAGTTACGGTTGTAATTATATAAATTTCCATTGAAATTAAAGATGAAAAATTCAAAAAGTAGATAAAGAATTTAAAATATAATGGAATATGGTAGAATATGCAAGAAAAAATAAAGGATTAAAGCAAAAAAGGGTATATCTTCGTTTCTATGAAGACTTTCAGGTAATAATTTACGCTGAAGACTTGATAGCATCTGTTTTAGGTTAGAATGCACAACACTTCACCAGAATCGACGTTTTCAATGTTAAATTTGGTCCGGAGAGAAGTTGTCTCCAGTTTTCCAGCTACCCCGAGTGACTGCGTCGCACGGTATTTCCATCAAATTGTCCACCAACAGGCAATATCTTTACATGTGCATACTCTGAAAACACATCGCTAGCTAACTGCATTCCGATATTTTTACATAAATTAATGTAAAAATCTGTAATCTTCAAAAATTATGAAAAACTCACCTTGTTTATCGTGTCACACGTCATAGATGGGTGCTCACAACGAGGAACGGAAGTTGCTCACAACATTTTTACCGATGGACATTTTACACTCGTTGTGAGTTAAACGGGCGTGCAATATACACAATATACACAATATACACAATACATAAGTTTCTTGGGGTGTCTTGGGGTAGTCATGGGACTAAAAATGTGTATCTTTCTGTCCCAGAGTAGTCTTGGGGTATAATGGGGTGTCTTGGGGTAAATAGACCGACCCCATTTAGATTTACCCTTGTCCGTCCGTCCGTTCTCTTTTTGTGTCGCATGTAGCTCAAAAAGTATTTGACCTAGAGTCATGAAACCTTACAGGAATGTTGATTAGCATGTGAAGTTGTGCACCTGGGTATTTTTGTGTGGGTATATTTAGCTTTGAAGTATGGGAACCAACATATTACCGAATGGCTCCGAACATAGCCGACTGGTTCCCATCTTCAAAGCGCAGCGCATTTTGCACACGGCAAAGCTGGGGCCACGTTTGAATAAAATATGGAAAGATATTGTAAATGGAGTAAAACGGCGATAATCTTGATGTTTATTTCGGCTGTTGAGTTGTTTATATTACCGCTGAAGTTTAAAATTGACCATCATCGTGAAGAATTATATCTTCTGTGTCGATGGACCAAAGGATTATATGAAAATATTGGAAATGGAATAAAATACATGGTGATTATGACGGTAGGGGTGCGGATTATTTCCGGCGAACATTTTTATCTTGTGTATTATTATAGACGTTGAAATATGAATTTTTTTCAAAACGGCTTATATTAAGTTTTTTTTTGATATATATGATCAGTACATGTGCTGGGATTGACAAATGTGCATTTTATATGGATTTTAAAGGCGTTTTGAGCTCCACACCTGGACAAAGATATTCGGCAGTTTTACGTGCAATCAAAATTAAAAGCCGGATAATTTGAAGAACCAATATGGGAACAAGGCCTGTTATATAACGTAACCTTGTTACATATACATGTAGGAAATTTTGGTAAAATTATGCCTATCTTGGACTTTCATTTAAAGATGCTTTAAAAATATGTGTTCATGGATATGTGTGCTTGCGTGTTTGTGTTAAAAATAAAATGATATTTTAATAATACCCATTTTGTCAATCAAATGCTATGGATTTTGGAGGCTGCGTTCTTTTTTATATACTACATGAAGTAGGTACGAGACTTCGATGTTTCGGTTTTTTATGTGAAAAAGTTTTTTAACTACCGTAAAGAACGTCGGTCGTTCTACTCAGGTGCCCCTTCGTACCTTTATTTATACTCAAAGGGGCACTTGTAAAACTGGAAAGTCGCCACATGATCATGTCAGTTTTGGCGAGCCGTGAAACCTGGTACATATGATATCTATGTCCCAGGTGAAACCAAACCAAAAAGGACCTATTTTACCTGAATTAAAAGTTATTTTTAAAGCTTCATGTCTTTAAACATTAAAAATTTAAGCCATGGCAACTACATTTTTATTTGTTTGGGTCGTCAGACCAAACAAATAATGGTAGCGAAATTTCAGACTCTGATATGCTTATTTGCAAAATCAGAAAGTAGTCCGAACTCCTCGAAGCGGTTACTTACCTTTATAAGTACTCTAATGCCGAAAAAAATAAGGGGAGATCACTGCGTAAAGATTGTCAAATGACAGGCGCATTTATTTTCAAGCCTTCTCGGGGGAAGAAAAAGTAGTTCCCGATTGGTCAAAGATTTCAAATATTGTGTAATTCTTTACAGATATACATGATTATTTACATCATTGTTAAACGAAATAAATAAGGGTTACAAACCCTAATTTAGAATGATATGGTTTTCTTTAGGCTGTTATCTTATAACTTTCCCGTGGTCGAGGCCCCGGAGGGGTTACACGCTCGTTTAGGAAGAGAGATGTCCTGAGTTAAAATCCCAGTTAAGGCAACTCATGTTTTTTTAATTGTTTAAGCCAAATAAACATTGAATTGAATATCGGTGTTGCAATTATGTAATTTACTACAGTTATAACACTGGAAACAGCATCGGTGGCACTATACAAAAACAAATTGATTTATAATCTCATAACCTTCACCTTTCTGACATTCTCAGACCCAAACATATTCAGCGCCTTCTATGCTTTAATTTAATTAAACATGACCATGATATTGCAAAATTGTACCTACTGACTTACTTATTATTAACAAAATATAAATATATATAATGTTATCGAGTAATGATATTTTTCAGCGATTTAGGTCATGACCTTGTTTTGTTTTTTCAGGATGAAGCAAAAAGACATATCTTACACTTCCCTAAAACTAAAAGAAATAAAAACAAAAAAACAACAACAACAACAATAAACAACAATAAACACAGCATTATAACAACATTGTTTTCTATAGAACAATCATTTTAAACGCAACTACATGATTCTGTGAAGATCGAAGTGTTTAACATAC